AAGAAGATTTTAAAATTCTGACTAGTCCAGTAACAGGTCATGAAATTGAAGCAGTAATTTAAAAAAAAAAAAAAAAAAAAAAAAACTTACCAACTAAAAAAAAATCCCAGGACCTGATGGATTCAATACTGAATTCTACTAGAATTCCAGAATTCCAAGAAAGATCTAACACTAATACTCATTGAACACTTAAACTGAAAAGGAAGGAACACTCCCCAAGTACTCCTGAAAGTTAGCATAATCCTGATTGGAAAACTGGAAGAAGCCAACCAAAAAAAAGAGAACTATAGGCCAATCTCTCTCATGAATATAGATGCAAAAATCCTTAAGGATGCACTGGTAAATAGAATGCAACAAATCATCAAAAAACATACACGAAGACCAAGTAGGGTTTACTCCAAGGATACAAGAAGGGTGCAGTACAATCAACAAATGTAATTCATTATTTTTAAAAAAGGACAAAAATCACATCTTAAGAGCCACAGAAAAGGCCTTTGACAAAATTTAACATCCATTTGTGATTAAAACCCTGAAGAAAACATGTATAGAAGAACTGTATCTCAATCCATTGTCATATGACAGACTGCCAACATCATATAAATGGGGAAAACTTGAAAATCTTCCCTCTAAAATCAAGAAAAAGACCAAGATGTCCACTATTATCACTCCCATTCAACACAATCAAACGTTAGCCAAAGCAATCAGGCAAGAAAAAGAGAGGGGACACAGATGGTAAAGGTAGAAATCAAAGTATCATTATTTACAAATGACATTATCCTCTACTTAGAAGACCTAAAACACTCCACTGAAAAACTCCTAGAATTAATCATGTTCAGCAATGTAGCAGAATATAAAATGAACACAAAAATCAATAGTTTTCTATATATTAGTAATGAACTCACTGAGAAATTAAGAAAATACCATTCACAGTTACATCAAAAAAAATTGAAATACATAGAAATTAACATAACCAAGGAAGTAAAAGACCTCTATGAGAATTACATTATTCTGAAAAAAGAAATTAAAGAGGACATCAGAAAATGGAAGCATAGCCCATGTTCCTGGACAAGCAGAACTAATGTAGTCAAAATAGCTATACTTCCAAAACTGGTACACACATTTACCACAACCCCGATTAAAATAACAGCATTCCGCACAGGTCTAGGGAAAAAAATCCAAAAATTCCTGCGGAATAAGAAGAGACCTAGAATGACAAAAGTAATTCTGGGTTACATAAGTAAAGCATGAGACAATACAATCCCAGATCTGAAGTTATACTATAACTGGGCATAGTGGTGTAAATTACACGCCTGTAATCCCAGCACTCAGGAGGCTGAGACAGAAGGATCACTGGAGTTCAAGGCAGCATGGGCTACAAAGTAGAGTTCAAGGTTGGCTTGAACTGCATAGTAAGACTGTCAAAAAAAGAAAGAACAAACAGAAGTTATATTATAAAGCTACAGTGAATTTAAAAAACAAACTTAACAAAAAAACTCCAGCATAGTACAGATACAAAGAGAAATGTAAATCAATGGAACAGAATAGAGGAAGAAACAGCCTCAGACACATTTATCTCTTTGATCTTTAGCAAAAGGGTCTGTTACGGTTCTGTCTGGAGGTCTCCTTAGAGGCTAATGTGGTTGTGGGGGCAAGCTTTACAGAGGTGGCTGAATCTAGAGTTTGTGACTGATTCATGGTCTAATGCTGGGATTGGGGGTATAAGTGCTAGTCTGCACACAATATAAGGGAGGGAAAGAAGCTGGTCACCATCACCCCTCACTTTTTTATTTGCTTCGCTGCTTTTGCTGTCTTCTTCCACCATGAACTGCTGTGACACACCACCCTGCTTTGGAGCCAGTTGATTATGAACTGAAATCTCTATAAACTGGAGCTACATAAACCTTTTCCTCTTTAAGTGTCAGCTATTTTGTCTCAGCAGTGAGCAAAAAGTAACTAAGACAGAGTCAAAAATATACACTGAAAGAAAAATAGCCTCTTTAAACAAACGGTGCAGAGAAAACTGGATATCCACAAGCAGAAGACTGAGTCTAGACTCATACGTCTTACCATGTACTAAACTAAAATCAAGATGGATCACAGATCTGAATGTTAAAACAGAAACACTTAAGGAAGATTAAAATAAGTAAAGCTTGGTAAGGGACAAAAGAGGATCACTGCTTGTTGGTTGCTGACTTCTGTCCAACATGAAGTGTGATGCCCCTCTGTGATGCCCCTCTGCTGTGCCACCCTGCCTTGAAGTCAGTCAACTATACTGAAACCTCTACAAACTGTGAGCTAAATAAACCTTGCCTTCTTTAAAAAGTAAAATAAAATAGGTAAAATTTTTCAAGTCATAGACAAAGATTATGAACTCCAGTTACACAAGAAATTATTTGAAGAATCAACAAAACTGAATCACACCAAAGTAAAAAGTTTCTGCACTGAAAAAGAAACAACCAACAGCATAAAGAGATAACCTCCAGAATGGGAAAAAAAATTCTACCAACTACTCAGACAGAGGCTGACACCCCCCCCCAAATAAAAGACCCAATCAAAACCTGGGCAATCAAAATGAACAGACACTTCACAAAAATAGTAGTACAAGTGGCCAATAAATAAGATATGCAAAAATGTCCAACATCACTGGTCATTACCGAAACACAAATTAAAACAGTACTAAGATACCATCTAATTCCAATCTTTATGGCTATTATCAAGAAATCAAATGCTAACAAATCCAGGCAAAGCTGCAAGGAAAAAGATACCCTTCTACATGGTTGATGGGAATATAAACTACTACAACCACTATGGAGATCAGTATAGAAGAGTGCTTCATTAAAAAACTGAAACTATATTCCATTTGACCCAGCTATTTATTCCCCTTCTAAATATCTTCTCCAAAGAGTTAAAGTCATCATTTTATAGAGATGTGTAGACTCATGTTCACAACAGAGTTATCTATAGTATTTAAATCTTGGAAGATGCCTATATGCTCATTAGCAGATGAATGGATAAAAGAAAACATGCCATAAAGAAGGATAAACTTGAGGCATCTGTAGGAAAATGGATGCACCTTGAGATTATAATTTTTTTTTTGTCTTTTTGAGACAGGATCTAAGCAGTTCACACTGGCCTTGGGCTTACTTTGTAGCCCAGGCTGATCTCAAACTTGCAGCAGCAATCCACCTGCCTCTGCCTCCCCAGTGCTGGGATTACAGGAGTGTACCACCACGTGCAGCTGTTAGGACTATAATATTAAGTGAAATAAATCACATATACAAGTTTAAATATCACATGGTTTCTCTGAGAAACTCAAGTTATAAATGAAGAGCAAAATAAAAAGTAAAGGAAATAGGGAGATCTTTTTCAAATAGGAAGGAAAATAAGAGATGGAGGAAGGGGGAAAGAAGAAGAGATTAAGAAAGAACTGAAAAGATTGGAAACAGCTTCTATAAATAGAAAGGATGAAAAGAACTGAAGGAAGTAAAGAGGAATGGAAGGGGAGAAAGGGACAAAGAAAAACACCTAAGATGTGTTATGTACTTTACATACTCCCCAACATAAATGTAATCATTATATACTGCAAATATGTATTGATTTTAAAAAGTTCAAGTTCCAGGGCAGCCTGGTTTATGTACTGACATGCTGTCTTAAAAGAACAAAAAGAAAAATTCATTCCTTTGGTTTTGTTATAAAAGGTAAGAAAATATCTATTTCATTTTTGACATTAAAATACAGAAACCATTTTCTATTTGTGCATTAACTATCAAATACATTATTTCCAGTTCACTGATAATCCAATGGTTCTATTTAGAGAACCTTCTATGGTATGGAAAAAAACAAAAGCTTGTAGAAATGATAGGGACTCAAGATCATTTAAAGGTCTTCATTTTACACATGACAAAACTGACAGTAACATTTGAAATTCTGGGACTAACAGCACTTATGTTACATAAGATGTATGTGAGAATTTTTTACAGTTATGGTACTTAAGGTCTCTACAGATTTGTACACAACACAACAAATATACTGAATTTTGTTCCTAAAAAACTAAGTGTGAGTTTTATGGTACTAGATCTCAAGAATGTGGGTTTTTTGGGGGGTACAAATTAGATTTACTCTCTTTCTTGGTAAGAGCGGAAAAAGTATCAGTTTAGAATCTGAAAGCCAGTTCCCAATACTTCACTGTTGCTGTGGTTTGAATATGATTTGAGTGTGTCCCCCAGGGTTTCATGCTAGAAGCTTGAGCTCCAGTACTGCATTATTTGGGAAGTAGTAGAAGCTTGGAAGTGTGAAGCCTTGTGGAAGGCCACTGGGTGAGGGGAGCATCATTCTAGGAAAGAATTCATGCTAGATTCAGGAGTGAGTGAGCTTCCTAAGAGGAGGTTGTTATAAAGAAAAGTACAACCCACATGCTTGGCCCCGGCTGCACGCAGCTGTTTCCCTCTCTTTTCTAACACGGGATTCCCTCATCAGAGGCCATGTGGGGGCTCCATATTTTGTACTTACAGCCACTAAAATCATAAACCAAATAAGCCTCTTTCCTTTATGAAGGACCCATATCAGGCATTTTCTTATAATGCAAAAATACTAAGACAGCTGCATACAGACAATTGTCACTGTTTTCTCACCAGTCAGAGGTGCGCTAGGATACCCAGGGTGTGAAAAGTGACAGGAATGCTAAACACACACCCCACTCACAGAAGCACTATGTTAGTCCCTTTTTTTAAATTAAAAACAGAAAGATGTTCTTTGATACTGTCTGTAAATTAATGAAGCCAAATCAACCAAAATAATTTAAACAGTCCTATTTATGATTTAATGGTATAGTTATAAATACCCCATAATCTGTGAGGCCTAACTAATATAAACAAATTATATCAAAAGTTTTCATCATTTTATAATATGAAATATAATTTGATAAGTCTGAAACTGATTAATCAGGATACTATAGTTGACCATTTTCTATATTTAAAAAGGATATTCTTAAAACTACTTACATCTGGTTGAATAGCTTTAAATACTGGGACATCCATTAGTGTTATCTGACCCTGAAATAAAAAAAATTGACAATTTTTTTTTTTTTTTTTTGGAACTCTGTGCTATGTCATATATTCTAAATAAAAATTAGGCACTGGGGATAAAGCTCAGTGGTAGAATATTTGCTTACATGTGACCCCTAGCACGGCAAAAACAACAACAAAAAATTACATTATACCCTAAAATATTACTGAATATTCAATTTTATAAACAAATTATAGAAAATTTTTAAAATCTAGTCCATTAAATAAATAAAATATAAATAAATGTTAACAACTAGTACTTAGTACCATTAAATGTAATTATTTCCAATTATTTCATGCCTGTTTACACCATCTTATGAAAAATAAAGTTAGAAAAAATAAAAAATTTGGACAAAGTAGTATACATTAAATAAAAAATAAAACCAGATAGTTCAGAGCAGTGTTCTTACTATAAAGATGTTATTGCTCCTCAAACAGTAACATAAAATGTATTATCAAAAAAACATATTTTCTTCTTAATTCATAAAAAGTAGTGAGGTTACAGCCAAGCCTGGTGGTATACATCTGTAATCCTGGCTATTCAGGAAGCAAAAGCAGGAGAATCACAAATTCAAGGGCAGACTGGGCAGCTTAGTGAGACTTTGTCTCAAAATTAAAATTTTATAAGTGAGCAGTAACAGAGTGCTTGTCTATAAGCATGTAGCCCTGGGCTCAAACCCAGTCACACAAGCACCAAAAAATAATGAGACCACGCTAAAGGTAACAGATTATGACTTTACATGACATGCACCTATCTCATTTATGGCTATAGATACAAAATAAAATTCACAAATATATGGAACTGTTGTATGACCAAGTATAATTTATTCTTTGGATGTAAGAAATCTATGTACTTTATTAATAAATTATAAGTATAATTTATTCCTTGAATGTAAGAAATCTATATACTTTATTAATAAAGAAAAATAACAGAAATTAACACTAAAGCCAATTAAGAAATAAAAAGATTTTTAAGACCCTTCATGACATTCTTCTAATGATCCTTTCTGATTCATTTTCAACTTTTAAGCTAACAAAAAGAGTAAAAATACTTCTCAGATATGTCAATAAAGTATAAAGTACAGTTGGTTTGGGGATAAATGTATAGATTGACAAAAGTTCTTACTATTTCCAAATTGCAAATAAACTTAGCAAGTTGCTGCCAAAACAGCTACTCTCCTGCAAAATTTCCACACGCATTTTTTTTTTCTTGGAGACAGGGCCTCACTAAGTAGTTCAGGCTAGCCTTGAACTCACTATGTAGCCCAGACTAGCCTCAAACTCACTTAGATCCTCCTGTCTCAGTCTCTCGAGTGCTGGGATTATAGACATGTGCCACCACACCTGGCCACCACCATTCTTTAAACGATCTCTGCTACAAAATCTAATTCAACAGCATCAATATGTAAATTATGTGCAAAATCTAAGAAGGAAGATCCAGGAAGCTTACCGCATATTCTTCTGGTGTAACCTTAAGAACATCAAAGACCACTGCATCAAAGCTTTTCTTCAGTTCAGAACCTTTGTCACTTAATGATTCAGAGCTACTACTTTTCTGTTAATGAAAGAAAATGCAGCTATCTTAGTACTGTCTCACAGTCAAGGTCATAGAAACCAGGCACGGAATGCCTAGAAACTAGAAACAGGAAGCTAAGAACAGCGGTCAGGGAAGACTGCAGAAAAGCTGAGACAGCTGCCGAGCTGGGAGGGCATGAAAGGGTCGCACAATCTGAAATCTAACCTCGGGTTTAGATTTTAGGTTCGTAGGTCATTTTATTGTGTTTATTTTTGTCATCCATACATTCTTTCATTTCCTATGGAAATAAAACATTTTTAAATAGTTTAATGGTCCTCAAGTAGGGTAAAGGAAGGTGAGGAAAGAAGGATAGCCACCCATGGTCATGTGTTACTTAAAGACAGAGATAAGCTCTGAAAAATGTGTTTTTAAACAGTTATGTTATCAAGTAAACATCACAGAATACAATTAGACAAACTATAATAGCTACATTACTAGGAGATACAATCCTGTAGGGCCATAGTCCACAGTTGATCAGAATGTCATCATGTACAGCCTGAGTATGTTTGCAAATTTTAAACTGATTTTTAGTTTTTGTAACATAAACCTAAGAGAACATTCAAAAGCCCACAATTAAATAATTGTATAACTCACTATTATTTGTTAAGAACTTTAAATGTGTGGGCAAAGCAAAAAAGAAAAAATATAATAATAGAGAGATGAGCACCTAATTCAGTTTTTAACCTCCATTTTACAGTCTAAGATACATGAGCCAAGTAAGTCCTTCTAGTATTCCAACTTATCAGTATTTTGATCAAGAAATTTTAACTTGGTGATTCCAAATAAGAGAAATTTTCTTTGCCTCAGTTACACTACTGCCTTCAAGGTTCATGTAATTTAAAAACACCCCAAAAAGAAATTATTTTTCGTTTAAACTACACCTCAGAAAGAGTTTTACAAGCAGTCATTATTAGTCTTTTTTTCCAAGTATCTTAACAGATAAGGATTAAATGTTTCTAAGGTGCACAATGAACATATGAATGGCAAAATTAAAAGTTAATAAACAAAGTCTCCAAAAATGTGACCCCTTTTTCATCCTACTGTTTTTAAAATATGATATACCAAAATGTTTGAAAAATTAGAAAACCAGGTAAGAAATTTTAAAACTAAGTTCTGCAAGTGTGTTACCTCAGAAGCAGTAGCTGGGATATTAACATTGCTTGCTTGTCCGTTCATTAGGTCCATGCTTCCTTCATCAGTCCCTGACCCTATGTCAGCAGCAAAAGGACTGATTATTTCATGTCCAGGACCACAAATGCATTATTCCTATTTAAAAAAAAAAAATACAGAAAAGTTAAAATGGTGTTTTCCTTAAAGTTTAATAAAAAAGCAAAATCTATGTCTACCACCAGGCTAAAATCCTACAATTTTGTTAAACTCCATTTCTATGTCAGTGACACTATCCAGATTGAGGACAGTTTTTTTTTTTTTTTTTTTTTTTTTAAATGATGAGAAACACCAGGCATGGTGGCTCATGCCTGTAATCCCAGCACTCAGGAGGCTGAGGCAGGAGGATCAGTGTGAGTTGGAGACCAGCCTGAACTACAAGTGAGCTCAAGGCCAGCCTGAACTACAGAGAGAGACCCTGTCTAAAAAAAAAGTTGAGAAAGAGTAACTGGGTAATAATGAATAATTACCACTGTTAGTCCTCCTAAGAGAAGCAGAAGCATTATTTTCACTGATTAATATTCTGAGAAATAAATCAACTGGATAACTTTAGTTAAGTAAATAGTAAGTACAAAAACCATGTGATAAAGTAACACATTGCATACATGATAAATTTTTTGAGACCCAAATGACATTTCTAAATCAACGATACTGAATAAGCTTACCAGTGATAGTGATATCACAAAAAACATCACAATATATATTAATTTACTTAGGGCTTTAAAGTTTATTAATATCCTTATCGATTTTCACAACTACCATTAACACTATTTGGGGAATACATTTTAAAACAAAATATAACAATAATATTAGTATTATTCCCACGTAAGAAACAGAACTTCTGGTAAGTGAAGAATAAAAAACACGACTCAAATCATCAAAAGTCTAGTCAAATACTCTTTCTACATCACCACACATCATGAGATCAAAAAATACAGCGAATGCTGTGGCCAAGTGTCACCCAATCAGAAGGAAGGTATCTTCTTCAATACAAGAGGTGGCTTGGTGGAACCACTGTGTGACAAGCTGCAACTTGTTCACTGCAATCACTCTGTGGTAAGCTATAGTTGAGAGAAGGTATGTTTTAAAGTATGTGTAAATCATGGCTCTTAAACAAGAATTAACATGAAATTTATTCAACTTTATTGGAGTTTTGTGATCATGTCCTTTCAAATTTCAGCTTTTTAAGACTGTTTTTTGACCTTGATAGGATTGTCTGAACTGAGTTTGTACACAGGAACACTATAGTGAACTATAAATACTATAAGAGCTTATTATTTAGGAAAAAATGTGCATAGAAAATGGTGAGGGGGGGCTGGGGATTTAGCTCAGCAGCATAAGTGCTTGCCTTGCAAGTGCGCAGTAGTGAGTTCAATCCCCATACCAACAACAACAAAAAAAAGGAAAACGGCTAAGAATGGGAAAATAGTTTCATCCTCTATTTCAATACCATTTCACAACTACTAGTATATAAATTTCTATCAAAAACATTATGGTATATCCCAAATGACCTCATTTAACAAGACAGGCAACATTTGGCTCTCCTCAAGGTAAAAATGACAATGGAAAAGTAAACATTTTTAGTTGACTCAGGACATTGAGGCAGCCAGCCACAACAGTCCAACTAAAGATACTCATAAAGAAGACTTTCAAATTGAAAGACATCCCTCGATCATGGATAGGAAGAACAAACATTGTGAAAATGGCCATACTCCCAAAATTGTTATACAGATTAAATGCAATTCAGATCAAAATACCATTAGCAAAACTCACAAGTGATGATGTAATCTGAGTAACCATTTTGAAGATAGCATTATGCAATATAGTAACTATTGTTAATTTCCTACTAGCTTGTTTTGAAAGCCTATATCATTTCTTTTAATCTCTTTAAAATAAAATTTTTTAAATCTCTCTAAAATAAAATTTAAAAAAGACTTCCAAACTGTTTGACAAAGTGGCAAGAATGATGGGATAATTGTATTCAAAGCAAGAGCAAGTATTTTGAGGGAATATTAATGGTTATATGCCTTTTACTGTATTTTGATCAAAATGTAGCTCTATGAAACACATGTTGAGGAGTATCACTAAATCCTAATTAAAATCTAATGAGTAAGAATGCCCCAAATCTGTTTCCTACATGGTGTACAACATGCTCCAGGTTTTCAAATGCTTAAAAATTACTTGTTAGCAACTTTAAGTCGTATCTTTAATCTATCTTCATTTCTTTTGACTAGTCTAAGCACATGCTAAAAGTGGAACAGTGTGCTAGAGTTTTTCAGGTAAGAAACACCTGAAGTAATAGAATTTCAAAACCACCTCAACTCATTTAGAAAACTGATGTGAAAATAAGTCAAGTGCAGATATACTGTAATTCCCTCCAATATATTCTCTTAGCTTCATTATCTTTAGGCCACTATTAAAGATGAACTTGTGCTTACACTGCTGTACAAGACCAGCTTGATAATTCCAATCTTTTGTCCTTTTGTTTGCTTGTTTTAATGCAGGGTCTCACTGTGCAGTGTAGGTTGGCCTTGAACTTACTATGTAGCCTAACCTGTACTCAAACTCATAGTGATACTCCTGCCTCAGCCTCACGAGTGCCAAAAGACAATCTAATTTAGATAGTATCAGTTTGCAATGAAATGTTTTCAAATAATTTCATTTCATATTCTATGCAGACTAGGTATGACATGAATTCATAAATCAAGAGTGCCCCCTAGTGCTACAAAAAAAAATTTTATTTTTATTTATTTAATAGTCTTTGAGACAGGGTTTTGCAGTTCAGGCTAGCCTTGAACTCACTTTGTAGCCCACGCTGGCCTCAAATTCACAGTGATTCTCCTGCCTCAGCCTCCCGAGAGCTGGGGGTTACAGGCATGAACTACCATACCTGGCTCAAAATTTTTAATTATGAAAGAACTTTTATTTTTAACTTACTCTACATATTAAATATAAATATTATTACCTTTATTTACTGAAAATAGACAATACAAGTTTGGAATGTCGTTAATATATTTATAAACTATAACAAAGAATCAAGGATCTTCTGCCTGTTTTCATAAAACAGCCATTCAAATATTCCACATAAACGGGTCCTATTAAAATCCATTTTGTAGATACACAGCAAAACATACTCTTAAACAAAACACTTCTTATAACTATTGTTAAGTGTACTACAATCATAATAGCATTTAATATGTTTAAGTATGAGAGGCTCATATAGTATAAAACACTGTAAGTCCTAAACAACAAAAACATGAGTTTATTCTTTAGTGTGTGTCTAGACAAATTAAACAAGACAAATAAGACAATACAGGCTTTAACAGTTTATTTTCCCTCATGCTATAAATGGCACGACCATTCATAAGGACCACTAATATCACAAGAGCTTTATTATTTAAATTTTCTGGTTTCTATTTACTTTTTTCAACTTCCTAAGATAGTTAGGCTACTCTGGCTGTCCAAAACAGCTATTTTGGCTCTTTCCAAGCAATATAATCTCCAAACAAGAAATCTTGACACCGATATTTAATTTCTCATTTGAGTTCACTGAACTCAATTATCAAATTGCAGGTCATATACAGTCTCCTAAATGTCCACCTTCTCAATGGTGTTCTCCCCAGAAGAAGATCAATTTTGTAAATAAGTAAGGGTTAAAATTAAAGCAACAATTTCTCACTAATTAACCTCATTTCACAGTAATGCTGCATATTCTTTCTTAAAATTAATTTGTTATCATTGATTATTAAAGACATTTACTAGTTTTATAAAATATACTCTAAAAGAGCTAAGCAACTGCAAGGAAACTGGTAATAAAATTCAATTATAGGTATCTTTTCTTTGGTAACATTTAAACAACACTGAACTAAGATCTGAGCCTAAAATTCATGTTATCAAAACCCTAGATAGCCGGGCATCACAGCACATAACAGTAATCCCAGCACTCTGAGTGGCTGAAGCAGGGACTAGAGCTGTAGCTCACTTACAAAGGCTCTGGGCTCAGTACCCAGTACCACCAAAAGGAGAAAAAAATCAGAGGAGGGATGTAGCTTAGCAGTAGTGTGTTTATCCAGCATATGCTGGACTCTGGGTTAGATTTCACATCTTTACCTCACCACTACAGAAAGAAAGAAAGAAAGAGAGAGAGACAGAGAGTGTCAGACAGACAGACAGACAGACAGAAATTGCCAGGCATGGTGACATACACCTTAGTTCCAGCTACTTGGGAGGCTGAGGCAGAACATTCATTTCAGCCCAAGAGTTCAAACCCAACCTAAGCAACACACTAAGACCACAACTCAAACACTGCAGTTGGGTGTGCATGCCTGTTATCTCAACTCTCTAGGAGACGGAGAAAGGAAGCATTGCAAATGTGAGTCCAGTCTGGGTCACTTAGTGAGACGCTGTCTTGCAACATAAAAATAAGGCTGGGGATGTACTCAGTGCAAAGGACCTGTGCTATAATAAATAGTAAAATAAACATTCAAACAAATACTTTAAAAGAAACACAAAAGTGGTAGTGACAGGTTCAGTAACAGAAACATCTTCTCACCAGAATATTCTTATAACGTTTCAAGAGAAAACACACAACAGGGTAAAATTATCAAACCACAATTGTAATTTCAGTATTTAAAAGTCACTACAGTGCTAATTTGCTTCCTTTAATATTTGTTTTTAAACAACACTTGAAGGTACTTTTATATAATATTCACTGGAGTCTCAGATGTAAATGGCATGCGTCACAGAATTAACACAAGCCCGTGTTCAGCTTGCCTAACAGCTCCTATTACTCTTATTTTTTAATCTAAGAAAATTAGATTACTTCCAAATGCCCCAGTTTCAGAAATTACAGCCTTAATTAAAATGCTCATGAGTAACAAAATATTTCGTTGTGACACCGATATTGAGCAGCGATTCTGACAAAAAATTTAGTAAAAAAACCGCAGTTACTTCTTGACACCACTAAGGTTATCTTTGCTACCTGCCAACCATAAGCTCGCGACACGAAGTCCTACTTTAGAAGCGCAGCCTGTGCCTCTCCGGAGGTGTAAAAGGTTCGGGTCCGAGGCTCCAGGAGCTCACTACTCTCCCGCCTGTGC